CGTGAGCAATGATGAAGTTTTAGGGAAAATGGAAACAAAAAGGACACTTATACCAAACATCAGAAAGAGAAAATTTCTAGAGAACATAATGAGGAAAGAGGGCTTGTGTGTGTGTGTGTGTGTGTGTACAATTTATTTATTAAAGACATTATAAAAAGAACGTTAAAACATAAAAATGTCTTTAATAAATAAATTGTCGGACTTTGTCTATTTCTTAATATATGACGTCATTTGTTTACATTTGATACGCCAGAGCAGTTATGAATGTACGAGATTCATGGAAGATTGAAGTTTATAAGCAATAAATTCGACCTTGCCTACCGAACGCTCCTTTGTGGCCGAGACGGTGAGGCACGTCAGCGTAAATGACGGTTCCGTATAGGATGCAGGTTTGAATCCTGTCAAAGGACGAATATTTTCTATGAAAATTTCTCGGACATTCAGGCGGTAAATGCTATTTAATACTGTTTATTATAAACAGAGCATTTACTTAAATACTTGTATCTATAAAAAAGAACGTTAAAACATAAAAATGTCTTTTAATATATATATATATATATATATATATATATATATATATATATATATATATATATATATATCTAAGGAGGCATGGTGGAGTAATGGATAGCAGCTTGGATTGAGGAATGGGGAGAGCTGAGTTAAAATCCTCTTCTTCTCCTTCCAGCTATGGGTAAATAGCAGGACAGACTGGGTTCTACAGCCTTGGATGGCAACTGGTCTAGGAGAAGGACAACTCTGAATTCAAAACCTGCAGAGGGTCATTTGGGGACCCTGTGGCATGGTAGTGCACCAGGTTCCTGTATTCGGCCCTTCAAAAAGTGTGGATGGTCCTGCACGAAACCTTCACCACTATAATCAAATCTCATGTGTTGTTGTCAGGAGAGTCAAATATATATATATATATATATATATATGTATGTATATATAATTATACATTTCAACAATCTGTGACTGGAATGGATAATTCGAAGGAGGATATAAATATATCACATACATATATATATATATATATATATATATATATATATATATATATATATTTCAAGGAGGATATTATAATATATCATATATATATATTTCAATATCTACCTACCAACACTCTATATTTTGAATTTATAACCCAATGCTATATTATATTTGTAATAACTTTGAATTTTTAATCCACATAAAATATACCAGTGCTCCTTGGATGGCAACTGGTCTAGGAGAAGGACAACTCTGAATTCAAAATCTGCGGTGGGTCGTTTGGGGACCCTGTGAGACCCAGAATTTGAAAAAAAACAACTGTATTGAACAGTTTGTAACTTTTTGTATCTAATGACTGGGAAATCTATGAAACTCTGACTCAGACTGTAAATGTAGGTATATGTGTAATTATTAATATATACTTTATAGCTGTACATGGAGCCTTGTTTTGTCTACAACATTGATTAAATAAATAGTTATTTGATCACCTGCATGTGTACATAATGACTCACATATAAGGTTGATTGTATCTCTTCATTTTGATAATATATTAGACATTAGGTTTATAATACCCAGAAATTCATACACAGATGTCCTCAAGTGGATAAACAGTGGATAAAGGCATTGGTTAGATCCAGTGACAGGACCCAAAGTGTGTGAGTTCAATACCCGGTTAAGGCAGTGGAGAACTTGGAGAGGGGAATTAACAGGAGATAACTGATAACTGACATCCATTAAACATGGTATGTGGAACTAGAACAGTCTACCCCAGTGAATGAAATAAAGGGTTCAGTTTGACATTCCAACCACCTGAAGAAAAGCCAGGGTGTACAACGACTGAAATGTTGTAATAAATATGGTGACAAAGATGAGGACAATAGTCTGAATAATGTACATAATACCTCATCTCAGAAATATAGACATATATATATATATATATATATATATATATATATATATAAAATTCAGAAAAATTTCAAAGAAAAACCTTACATATGAATTTTTCAGTTATAAACTTAAATTTATTTCAACAGTTGGTTTACCCTGCATCTTCAGACACTGGGCTAAATGCACCAAATGCAGATATATTTTTGCTAAATGTAATATTTAATTTTTGATTATCTTTCTTCTTTTCAAAGATCATGGTTCAATATTGATATTTATTTGTGGGGTTACCTCAATTCCTTTGAGTGCAACATCATGACAGAGTTTGCATATAATCTAATCTGGGGCTATTTAAATTAAATTTATTTCATGAGGCCTAAATTTAAAAGAAAAAATACAATTGACAATTTTTACCTTGAAACACTCTCTCATTAAATTCTGTTACAGTTATGTATGTTACAGTCATGTATACTAAAGTTACACATGCTACAGTTATGTATGCTTCAACCCATTCACTGAAAACCATAAAATAACTTATGGTTGGCAGTTTTTATTGAGACACTGATTGCGAGTAATCTCTTTTTTGAGGTCTTACTATTAAGGCAACAACCAATTTCTCATTGTTATAAAGCAAATAACTAGTACCTGGTGACTAAGTCAGGAAGAAAAAATCATACCAACAACTAAATAATAATACATTTAGTGTGAAAACAATGTTAAGACTTATGTTGAAACTGTAAATCAACTCATAAAAATATTTTATTGCCTCGGTTGGCTATTATAAATTTGAAGTCAAATTTCATAGTTGACTTCTGGCAGTCAGCATGTTAATATTATTAATGTTATTTTTTTCTCTTTTTTAATCATTTCATCCCAAACAAGGCAGTAAAGTCACTAAGATATGTGGGTTACTGAATTTGGAAGAATAAAGAAAAAGGACAAAACATTATTAAGGAGAGTGAACAATAAAAGAAGAGTAATCAAGAAGACATTAGATAATGATTGACATTGCATTTAAATTTTCAAAGATCAAAGATGGCTGAAAATCATGGAGCCAGAATAAAGATCTACAAGTGAGAAGCGTAATATTAGAAACTATTAGCATGGAATTTACAGTTGCATATAACCAATTCAACTATAAATTGATGAAACCTTGTTGCAAATCTGGCATGGCTCTTAAATTTTTTAAGTCAAGGTACCATAGTGGAATATTCATACATGACTTTAATATTATTTAATATTAAGATCCTGTATGGTGACCTGCTATGCAATATTATATCTCCTTGAGCAAAAGTAAGCATTCCTCATCATCGAACACTTTCTCCTACTTACAGCAGAATGTGCACTCACATAACTCAACTCTCTCCAGAGTTCATGTGAGATTGTCATGTAGTATGGTGAACCTTCCTCTTCCGTGCTGGCTCAGGGCATTTTGGAAGAGTTAGAAAGAACTTGTGCCTTTTAAAATAATTTTTCCATATATTTTTTCTACTATTTAACCCATAGCTGTGGGTATTTGTGCATAAGTGAACATAACAAACTCAACTGGAATTCTTGGTCATATTGACCTGGCAAAATTGTCCCACTATGAAAACTATACCTCAGGTTGGCCCAATTCTTGTAACTGAGACTAGGTAGATGAAACTGTTCATGTTTGTGCTAGCTCAAAGACAAAGGTCATGGTGACTGAGGACTGGAGCATATTGGCCTTGTTCAAACTGGTAATCATACCAGATTATGCCCACTCTCTCTCGCAGAAACTCTGGGCTCACAGCTACATCATATTGAAGCACCAGTTCCCATACAATAACCAAAGTTAAGCAACACCAAACATGGTTACTACCTAAATGGGTGACCACTTGAAAATACCAGGTTCTGTAAGCTTAGATGTGTGGCTGGTGTAATGGATAATGGCTCAAAATTGTTAATCAGAGAGCAGAGTTCCAATTCCAGTTTGGTTTGTTATATTCACTTACACACAAATACCCTTGTGAAAGTCTAGTTACCAGAGTGGAATAATATTTAAATAATGTTTGATTATCTCCTTTGAAATATTATATCACCTTGAGCAGAAGTAAGCATTCCTGATCATTGAACACTCTCTCCACCTATAGCAGAAAGACTGTGCACTCACATGACTCAACTCTCTCCAAAGTTAGTGTGGTATTGTCATGTAGTTTGGTGAACTTTCCTCTTCCATGCTGGCTTAAGGCATCTTGGAAGAGTTGGAAAGAACTTGTGCTCATTACAATGATTTTTCCAATGCAAGTCATTTAACCTGTGATGTCAGGAGGGGTGGATTCATACATTTTCCAAAGGTACTTGCATATAAGTGAATATAATGAATTTTGTGATGCCAACAAACACTCATTGTCACTTTTGTAATGCTCATTGTAGTAGAGACTTTGTAATCACAGATGAAACTACAGTACACCATTGAACTATACTGATGTCAGACACACTAATAGTATTTGCTCAATAATACTCACTTGAACAGTAATCTGTATAGTGATCTGAATAGAGAAATAGTATAGAGTAAAAATGGTGATCCAAGTTGTAATAGAGGATAGAATAGAAATAGCAATTGTTAGCCATCAGCTACTTCCTATGTTTATTCTATAGTCATGGGGTCTACTTAATTCAATAATGGGATCGCCTGTATTTGTTCACTGGAGATCTATGTTCAAACTCAAGTGTCAGCAGCAACACTTTATTCCTATATAACAATGAACTTGGCTGAAAAATGGAACTTGGTTCTCTGATTTCTCATTCCAAGCCACTATCCATTACATCACCTGCACATCACTAAGCTTATAGAACCTGGTATTCACATGTAGTCCCTCATCTAGGTACTCACCAGACTTGATATTGCTTAACTTTGCTGACTGGAGAAGAACTGGTACTTCACAAGTCATAAAAATTCCAATCAAGTTGTGCCTGTTACAATGATTTTTCCAAATACAAATACTACTATTTAACCCATAGATGTGAAGAGAAGAGGTGGATTCGTACCTTTTCCAAGGGTATTTGTGCATAAGTGAATGCAACAAACTCAACTAGAATTTCTACTTGGCTGTCTGATTTTTCATTCTGAGCAGCTATCACATCAGCTGCACATCCCCAAGATTACAGCACCTTGTATTTCCAAGTGGTCACCCATCTAAGTACTCACCAGGCTCAATATTGCTTAATTTCAGTGATTGGAGGAGAACTGGTGTTTTATAAGTCATAAAAATTCTAATCAAGGTTTTTAAAAAAGTCTGCTTCATTCCTTTCATATTTTTTTTTTTAAATTTAATCTTTTTCTTGATCGGAAAGGACCATAGAAATTGATTTCTTGCAAAGCTACCTACGTTCACATGATCACCAATTCATATGTTAACTGCTTTGAATACTGTCTAATTTAAATGTCCTTAGAAAATTTGGTAATTTCTAAAATATGGAAATTGTTGCTTTGCTTCAGTCTGTTTTTGAATAAACTCGTGTAAAATTCATGGCTTTGAATTGAAATTTGTAGTTAACTTGGCCAAATTCGTTAAATGGTTGAATAAAAAATAAATAAGTTTCAGGTAAAAGCCTGCCCATGAAAATCTAAATTAATTTGACAAAATTTCTGAAGTGCTCATTAACAGCTTGTTCAAATGCTCTTGAGTTTGTTGTATTTTTTTTATTTGAATCAGTTATTTTATAGGAAGGTTTATTCTTTTACTCTGAAATTTAACTAATTGAACAAATTTGACTTTACACTTCCATTTAAAAACATTAAAACCATGATGTAAATTATCACTTGAAAAATGGAAATGTGACAAAAGTCGGAAAAGCTGTATGTCTCAAAACATCATTTTAAATTTCAACTTCAGAATCCCTACATTTTCCGCCTTTCCTCTTGATGTATATTTATGACCCTCCTTCTATATATATATATATATATATATATATATATAATATCATCAATAAGGACATTATATGATCTTGATGAAGTCCTTTTGAAAGATGAAAGACATTACGTTGTTACTTTTATCCACTTTGTCATTCAATTAGTCATAATTTAGAAAATATAATAATAGTTTGTACTTAACATACAGCATTACTATAAAGAAATAAAGACAAAAAATGATAAATTGCATGCCTTCACAAATTATTTCTAAATTTTATAATATATAAATATGCTTAACCATGATATTTACTTGGCTTTGCTTCATATACTATAGTGTTAAGTTAATCTATCTTTGTTTTTAAAAATCCCTATAATAATTTATAAATCATATCTATCATAAAATTACTAGTTTGGAAAACTCTTCTCTAATCCATGATATTTACTTGTCTTTGTTTCATCCAGCATAATGTTAATCTATCTTTGTCTTTAAAAATCCCTATAATAATTTATGAATTATTTCTATCATAAAATCACCAGTTTGGAAAACTCTTCTCTAATCCATGATATTTACTTGTCTTTGTTTCATTCAGCATGATGTTAATCTATCTTTGTCTTTAAAAATGCTTTTAATAAATTAGATAGGTCATGTGCTGCTTTTCTTTGTCCTTCTAGAGTTTCAAATTTTCCAAGCCCTCTTTTCTCATCATTTGCTCTAGAAATGTCAATTATTTCTTTCTAATGGTAAGTATAAATGTCATTCTTATTTCTATTTTCTCTAAAAACTTCACCATTGCACACATGTTCAGTCCATGGTATTCTCAGCATTCTTCTGTAGAACTATATTTCTGTTGCTTCAAGTTTCTTTTTCATCTGTGAGGAGATTGTCCAGCATTCACTGCATATTACATATTTCAGATCTCTTTTCTTTGGTTCTAATGAAATTTTCCTATTTCTTGATACTTTGTTTATCTTTTGGAAGACATCTTTCACTATTCTAATGTGTCTTCAGATTTTGGTTTCACACTTTTTGTCCTCTATTGAAACTCTTCCCAGATATTTAAATTGGTGTACTTGCTTGTTTTTTGGCATCTCCAATATATAATTTGCATGTCAGGCTCTCCTTTTTGCTGACAACAATACATTCTATCTTCTTACAATTGATTTTCAATCCCAATCCCATCTCGGAAGAAAGCGACGTCCAATGATGCTTAAGCATTGCAATCCCACCTTGGAAGAAAGCAGCGTCCAATGATGCTTAAGCATTGCAATCGTATCTCGGAAGAAAGCTGCGTCCAACGATGCTTAAGAATTGCAATCCCACCTCGGAAGAAAGCGGCGTCCAACGATACTTAAGCATTGCAATCGTATCTCAGAAGAAAGCTGCATCCAACGATGCTTAAGAATTGCAATTTCACCTCGGAAGAAAGCGGCGTCCATTGATGCTTATGCATTGCAATCCCATGTCGGAAGAAAGCGGCGTCTAAGTATCATAAGCCTTGCAATCCCACCTCGGAAGAAAAGCAGCATCCAATGATGCTTAAGCATTGCAATCCCACCTCGGAAGAAAGTGGCGTCCAATGATGCTTAAGCATTGCAATCGTATCTCGGAAAAAAGCTGCATCCAATGATGCTTAAGAATTGCAATTTCACCTCGGAAGAAAGCGGCGTCCAACGATGCTTAAGCATTGCAATCCCACATCGGAAGAAAGCGGCATCCAAAGATGATTAAGCATTGAAATCCCACCTTCTAATTCTCTCAGAATCATCTCACTGCAAAGGTTGAATAAGTCTGGTAAGAAGGTATATCTTTGTCTTACACCCTTTTCTATTCTTGTATATTTACTGAATTCATTTCTGTCCATATGCTAGTGGTTTCCTGCCATTATAAGTTCTGGATTTAACGCAATTCAAATTAGTTTGTGTGTTTTCATTGGTTTGTTTCATGTGGTGGTTTTATTTTTAATTACCGTGCAAAATTTTATTACAAGCCTCATTGCAAAACAGGGTTTTGCAAAATGTCTTCGGTTTGAAAAAATAAATTCACTGTTTTAATTTAAGAAACAAGAATTCTTCAAATTAAATTAGTGTTTTACAGTTCTCAAAGATTCTTAAAGTTAAAAAATGGCTAGAACACTGTTTATTCAGCATATTTTGTTTCTTTTGCTTCAATTGACTTTAGATGGAGTCAGCCATTACTTAGAGCTGCAGGCCTTGATTTATTAACTCACTTAACTGCAGATATAATAAGAATAATTCTAGCAGCTTATGTATACAAAAAAGATATCAATAGATATGATTAAGAATAAACATTTCTAATATGCAGATACAAATACAAATTTGCTTTGAAATAAGTTGTTTTTTTTTTGTCTTTCCATTTCCCTATAATCAAAGTCTGCTTTATCTTTTTAAATTCCATATAATCATAAGTTCTGGTTTATATTCAGTCATTCTCAATCCAGACAGATTTTTCTTCTGCAGTTAGCATTTTAAAATGTTCAATATTTATTTATGCATTTTTTTTAATTCAAATTGGAATTTAACATGAGAAAAGAAAGAGTATTATTTTCAATCTAGAATAAAAAAGATTCATTTCAAATTGTGAATAATAATATTTATTACTATGATCAGTGGTTAACAGGGGCAAGAAATGGTTTGTAAATTTTAACACCTCCAAAACAAAACTGCTTTAATTTAACTACCACAGAGAACCTTTTCTTCCTGCCATCAACATGACTGATGCTAGACTTCAGGGGAGCAAAACACTGTGTCTTCTTTGCCTCATGTTTTCTACTGACTTGAAGTAAGGAGACAATATTGAATCAATAGCTGCTTCTACTGTAAGGATAGTTGGGTCACTAGGTCGTACCAGAAAATCTTACATTATTTATATCATTCAGACTGTTATCCTCATCTTCATTGCCATATTCACAATGTTTCAGCCTCTATATCTCTGAGATGAGGTATTATGAATACTTACATTATTTATATTATTCAGACAGTTATCCTCGTCTTCATTGGTATATTCACAACATTTCAACCTCTATACCTTTGAGATGAGTTATTATGATTATTTACATTATTTACATCATTCAGACTGTTATCCTCATCTTCATTGCCATATTCACAGCATTTTGGCTGTTGTACACTCCAGCTTTCTTCGGGTGATTGGAATTTCAAATGAAACCTTTTATTAGAAAACTCTACCCCAGTGGACAAAATAAAAGTTTCAGTTTGAAATTTCAATTACCTGCAGAAGGCTGGAGCATACAACAGCCAAAAGGTTGTGAATATGGCAAAGAAGATAAAGATAACAGTCTGAATAATGGAAATAATGTAAGTAATGATAATACCTCATCTCAGAGATATAGAGGCCGAAACATTGTAAATATGGCAAAGAAGATGAGGATAACAGTCTGAATAATGTAAATAATGTAAGTCATCATAACACCTCATCACAGAGATATAGACAGATACTGATCTTGCACATTTAGAAATCTACCATTCGCCCATGCATTGAATGCTGTTGTCATATCTGGTCTGGTGCTTCTGCTGTACATCTCAATGTTCTTAACACAATCCAAAGAAAACTTTGTAATATAATTGATCCTGACCAGTCACCTTGACTTCAGTCACTTTCTCACTGATGTGACGTGGCTTCCTATTATAAGGTTATTTTTATAACACACACTTGTACTTGGTATAATGTAATTCATTAAAGTATTCTCTATATGTAATGCTCAGGTTATTGACGTAACACTGGTATAGTTAGTATAAACACTGACTCCAATATGACTACTCTCGACCTCATACCATGGAGCTCTTTATAGTATTGGATAAGTTCATAGAGTCACTGAGGGTGTACTCTTTACTCCACAACATCCCTCCTTTTGAAATTACTACTTTATTAAATAAATATATTTTATTTTTATTTCATATTAGTATCTCCACCTCCTCTTTCTTGGGAGTTCACTAACATACTTTACTTTGTAGTGTTTCTATCTCAGATCAACTTCTAATTCTTCTGTATGTTTTCCTTTTCTTGGACTTGTCCTTGTTGGTTCCATGATTTGTTTTGGTACTGGTACATCAAAAATATCATACATCATTTTAACCAGTTCTTCAGGTCTTTCATCAGTTAATCTTTTCTTCAGCTGATTTTGCTGCCTTTTATGTTGGAATTTTTTTCCTTTCATCATGTAGACCAATTTTCCAATTGTAAATGGTATTATGCTGTCTTCCCATGTTTCCTTTCCATCCTTGTATGCTCTAAAGAATACTTTATTGCTGACCTTGAAAGGATTGGTGTCACTTTTATTAACTGTTTGTGATTTTTGACTTGGAAATA